ATTCTAGGGTTCAGTCTGAATGGGTATCTGTCGACCTGGGGAAGCCCCTCTTATGGCCCTGGCAGAGGCTCCAGAGAGCAAATGGAAGCACAGAAGGCTTTTTGAAGCCAAAAAGTCACCATGGTACACCATCACTTCCTCCTCTACCATGGCCGGCCCCACCTTCTTTTTTCTGATAAAATATGTGTAACATAGAATTTACCTTCTTAAGGGCATAGTTCTGTGGCTGGCTTATCTCACCGTAAGGTCTTCAGGGTCATCCATGTTATAGTACATGTCAGAATCTCCTTCGTTTGTAAGGCTAATATTCCATTGTATGTTTATACCACATTTTGTCGATCCGTTCTTCCATCAGTAAACACTAGGGTTGCTTCTACCTTTTGGCAATTGTAAATGATGCTGCTGTGAACACAGCTGCACACACTATGTCTGAGTCTCTGATTTCAATGCTTTGGGGTACATATCTAGAGGAAGAATTGCTGGATTATATAGTAATTCTGTTTAATTTTTTGAGAAACTGTCATACCATTTTACAGAGTGGCTATACGATTTTACATTCCTACCAGCAATGCATAAATGTTCCAATTTGCCACATCCTTACCAACATGCATTATTTTTTATTTTTTATTTTTTTGGTAACAGCAATACTAATGGGTATGAAGTGGTATCTCATTGTTGATTTGGTTTACATGTCCCTAATGATTAGTAATTTTAAGCATCTTCTCATGTACTTACTGGTCATTTATATATATTCTTTGGATAAATGTCTATTAAAGTACTTTACTCATTTTGAATAGGGATATTTGCTTTTTTTGTTGGTGTGTGATTGTAGAAGTTCTTTATATTCTAGATATTAATCTTTTATCAGATATGTGATTTGGAAAATATTTTCTCCCATTCCATGGGTTGCCTTGTCACTCAGTTGATAGTATTCTTTGATACACAAAAGCTTTTAGTCTTGATAAAATCTAATTTATCCATTTTTTCTTTTGTTGCCTATGCTTTGGCATTATGTCTAAGGAATCATTGCCAAATCCAGCGTCATGAAGATTTTTTTTTTTTTTTAAGATTTTATTTATTTGACAGCGAGAGCAGGAACACAAGCAGG